CGATTTTTTCTGGCATGTTAGCTAATACCCAAATTGTTCTCTGCTTTTAGGTTTCTCGCCACCACAGGACGGATCTTGTAAAATTCTGTCTAACAATCTAACTCGAACATACCTTTGAATCAGATACTAGACTGACCAATTTTCGCGACCATTAAATCTATACCAAGACCCACGAACGCTATTTCGTTGAGTTGAACAAACGAAAATGAAGGGAATGAGAAAAATTACTTTTTCCATTTCACGTTGTCATCGGCTATCATTTCCGTATCGAAAATTCTTACCAGAGAGCAAGTGCGAAGTAGTAGATTTGCACGATTCACGGTGCGGAAGGCCACGTCGTTCACTTAGTATTACTACTGCTCACCTCAATAGTGAATGCGGAAACATCAATGAACTATGAGTGGAATCCACACCCAGGACCATCAAAAGGGCATGGTGCCTCTCAACAATCGCACGGACTAATCCAAATTTGGTACTCTATATCAATGAACGTTATTTGCACTCATTCAGTGTTGTCATTCGATTCACTTTGAGTTTGTAAAATAAGCGATTGAGCTGTCAAATAGAGCATGTTTTGTTTGCATTTCCTAAAAATACCTACTACTACAAATGAATGTGAAGGCAGATGGTGTTTTCCAAATGTAAAATGCATCCGCTCACATTACCAGATTATCCGTGTTTTTGCGTGCTCTGTCCCAGATTCTCAAGTGTCAGTAATCATCCTCGTTGCTGATATGTTTGGTTTGATTCAGTCAAACTGGAATTGGCGCACGGTCAATAAAAGCGGGTTGTTGGTGGTGGTCGATTGTTTTGTCGCAGCTCATATTTACTTTCCCTCTCGTTGATGTTTCTAATATTGCTCGCCCGATACCGTTCTGTTTCACTGGATTTAGTGCCGATGAAAAAGTTACAGCCGAAGTGCTCCAGTCTTTGCATACAATGATTGGTTTGACCGGTCAACTGGGAGCCAGTGTTGCGCTCGATGCGTTTGTCACAACCATGTGCAAGGCTTCATTGCCCAGTTCATATGCTCGTTCGTTATTCTCGGCCCCTTCGAAAGGTGAGGTGATTTTTTTGTTAGGCTCATAATTCCCCCCTCTCTTTCTCACACTGCTTCGTCGGTTGGATCACATTGCGAGGCGGGTCTGCTCAGATCACATCTCTCGTGACTATGTGCTTAAGGTTTTCCTATCCCAAGTATCTCTGATCTCATAGCAATAATTCATTACATCTGATTCATCTGTGGTACTTTTTATAAAACTGATTTTCGTACTTGAGAAACAAAGAGCAACGAATTATGACGTCTGTGACTTTGTCATATTCGAACCTTATTCATTTAGTTTGAATTCTAATCTGAAGGATCGAATTCTTCTCTCCTGATTTTCAGCTCCTGTCGGTAGTACGACGCGGATTTTTCGCTCTGTCATGTTTTTAAATTCTTGCCTTGTTTTAAATATATATATATTTTACAACTCAGTGTACGCCTTCATTCTCTCTTCCTACAGCTCCCAATTTCAAACAGGAAAGCTTCAATAAATTAATAAATACATGCCATAGGGTGTGTTGTTAGGCTTGACAATGTAGACAAAAAATGGGCGCAAATAAATTTCAACAAAGCAGGGAAACTGTGGGGTTCTTTATCTGCTGTCTGCTACCACCTTTCAATGTGGTCCCATCAGTGTTTCTCACATTTCCGGAGAGTATCCTCGATCGCTTTGGCCCCCAGAAACAAAAATCTTCAAAGTTTCGTTGTTTGTATGGTGTTTGAAGGGATCCTGTATCACATGTACATACAGCTTATTCTTTTCTTATCTTATGAAGTCAAATAGTTGATTTACTTTCTACGCGACCTTGTGAGGATCTAAGCAGTCGTTATAAATGAACTTCACTGGACATTTTCCCTAATGCTTTAATCATTTTTTTGCATTGCTGGGTTTGTATATCCCCGTATACTTTACGTTCCTCCACCTCATTCAGGTCCATCCGCCAACACTACGGCTGCCTCCCCAGTCCTTGAAGAGGTGTTTGAACGGAGTCCCGTTGTGATTGTGGTCACTCAGGGTGCCGGACACAGTATCACAATCACTCCGACCACTGTTTCCAGTACAGGCACTACAAACCACCCGGTGTCTGGTTCCACGTCATCTGCAAATGTTGCCTCACACGGTGCGTCCACCGGAACGTCCTCCGGTCACGATTTAACTCACAACTATCCAACTGGATCATTGCTAATCACCGCTAAGCACTTGCAGTCCGCCAAAGCGGTCTTGCTTGCTGCACAAGCCCACGGGAATGTGCTCAGTCACTCGTGGAATGTGGTGTTGACCACGCTTCAGGTAAAACTGATGATTGAACTCATGTTGGTTGTTTTTTTCTTCTCTCTCTCGCGCGCGCGAATGTCATGGTCTATATGGTCGTTTTTTTAGCTGCCTCCCCGAATAGATTATATTGCCCAACCAACATCTGCCATTTTTCCCCCAGCGTGATAGGGGCTTTAAACAACCATAGTTCGAACTACTTCGCATTAGGGTGCCAAAACGCATCAGTGTGTGGGACAGTGTTCTTCACGATACACAACAAGGGACATCACACACGCACACATACGATTAGCCATAATGAGGATCACGGTTAATGCTAACTGTGGACTGACTAATCGAATAGCGTTAGATCGTTTTTTTTGACAAAGCACTTACACATATACGATTGAACAAAACCGATTGTTCACGGAACAAATTTCTTTTTCGATTGTGTTAGTTTTTACGTGACTATATCCTAGGTTCGTTCCAAAATTTGTTGTATCACAAATTTGTGCTCACGCAGGTCTTGGAAGTCCAATAATTGAGCATGGGGTTAAGCGGCAGGGGGTCTATTGGTGCTCTAAAAGAAATTAGTTCTCGTTTTGGTTCGACAATTTATTATTTTGGGGATTGAGTGGATGGACGAGAAAGTGTAGGTGAATAATCGGAATGTCTTTCCAAGTGTCATAGGGGTTTCGAACTTTAAATCTGGTATTTGAAACAAGCTGTTTTTATCGATTCATCAGCTGGCCATTCACGATTTTTTGGGAAACCATTTAATATCGTTATCTCGTATGCCGTCTTCTGCT